GGTTTTCATCATAAATGGATGTTGAATCCTATCAAATGCTTTCTTGGCACCTATTGATATATCACATGATTTTAATCTTTGTTTTTATGTTGTGAATTATGTTGATTTATTTTGGATGTTGAACAAGCCATGGGTTTGTAGTATAAATCTAATTTGGTCATGGTTTTAATACTTTTAAAACATTGGCGAACTTAGTTTGCTAAAATTTTGTGAGAATTTTTGCATTGATGTTCATTAAGGATATTGGTCTGCTGACTGGCACTGACAAACATTGCTAGTCTATTCCTGGCCACTTCTAAGAGCATTTCAACCTCTGAATAGATGCTTCTGGCTGCTACAGTATACCTTAGAAATGCTACCTGTGATTACCTCCAGTTGCCATTATGAGTCCGGTCCTGCTCTTCCAGTTATCAATGTGCCACCAACCTCTTGCACAAGCAACTTTTGGTTGGTCTATTGGACCCTGCAGACACTATCTTAGATGGAACAGATGCCATTTGTGACCTTAGAAACTCCTTTTTCTTCATCTATGTGACCCATTGTAAATAAACACTGTTGTTTTTACACTCTGTATATAAAGTGTCTTGCAATTGTGAGCACATGGGTATATATGCACAAAATATGACATTTCCCTGGTTTGCAGTTTCCGTTTCAGGTCTGATATTCAACTCTAATATATTCTAAGTTGATCTTTTTTGTGTGGTGTAAGATAATGGCTCAGGTTTATTCCACTGAATGTGGCTATTCAAGCCTAAACTTATAATTTTATTTCTCTAGTAACTTAAACCTACCAAAATCTATATATTTTTTAGTTTTAGCAACTTTCTCCTTGGTTTCTTGATAGTTTCTCCCCTTGTGTGTGGGTTTTAAGTTGGTTAATACCTCTATTAAAATGACTAACAAGACATTTACCTAACTATTCTACAGCTGCCTTATCTCAGATATTTCGGTTTTCTAGTTCTATATTACTTGTCCTTGTGGTCTTAACTCTAATGTCTGTCTCCCCAGATTAGTGAGACTGAATTCTGGGCTATTAAGCTTTCATGCTCTGCATTTTGAGTTGACATAGGGCCAAGGCATTTGCACAGAGATGTAAATCTGCTCAGTGAACTTCTTTTCTACACCTGGATTTGGCTTCTTAATTCCTATATTCCTTGATTGCCACATGAAACCTTCAAATAGTTGTTTTCCATATTTTATCCAGATCTTTGAGGTGTTTTCACCTGGATGGTTTGTATGATATCAAGCAGATCAGTGTAAATTCACATATGGTTATCTTTTCATCTTTAAAGTAATTTATAAAAATCCCTTAATAATATGAAGCATTATAAACCAAAATTACCTCAATAAAAATAATAAAAGCAATTTACAAAGTCTAGAAGTTATAAAGTGATGAAACTAAAATCTTATTGCTAATAATTGGTAGAAAATCAAGTATAGTCTTACATTTCTATGACTTCAGAAATTAATGCCTTGCTTTCAACTCTCCTATGTACCTCCAATTGAAAACTATGCTAATATCTTCTGCTAGATTGTTCCCTAGCTACATCACATGACAACCTTAAAGATAATCAAATATAAAGTATAGCTACATACAAAGTAATATCTCTGGCAAGCATTAATTTTTTAACATTTTGAGAGAAAATCAAGTATTTTGTTAAATCATTAAATAATTATCATCATTATATAATGAATTATATAGTAAATTATCATCACTATATAATTTAGTAAATTATCATCACTATATAATGAATATAATAAATTATCATCACTATATAATGAATCATACTGAAGAGTTCATACCATATAAAACATAACATCACATCTCCTAACTATATTATATTTGAGAAACTTCTTACTAAATTTATGAATTAAAATGTTATACTAACACATTTAGTTTTCATTTTTTCATGAATTTATTTACATTAAAAATATAATCTCATGGGTCCTCAGAACTCATTGAATTCTTGGGTCCCTACCTCATTATCTAACAGAAGTTCTCTCCTGTTTCATACCTCATTTCTTTCTCTCTTATACAATTTACAACTTAGATAATCCATCATCTTTCATTTGTTCCAGAGAACCAGCATTACAGAAAACTATTATGGAAATCATGTGATCCAGCATTTAATGTATCAAATGTATTGCTGAATCCTCACTAGTTGGAATGCTTTCTAGTTGTATGACTATTGATAAATCAGAGTTCCTTTATCTATAAAATGGAAATAGTAACACTCATCACCCAATATGACAGCAAAGAACAGAACAACTAGTATAATGAGGCTTGTAATTAACATCAGAAATGATATTTTTATTATTGCTTTGTAATGAAAATATTTAGGCACAGATTAATTACAAATGCGGTTTCTAATGAAGAGGTAGATTTTCCATAAAAAATTAAATATATTTCCTTAAAATAATTTAATGTTATTCCAAAATATGGCTAAACTCCAACAGAGATTAACATTTTGTTAAATTTCTCAAAAATCTTTAAAAGTGGCAATTCTCTCAAAAGATGATATTTGATAACATTTGTTAATATTTTGACCAATTACTAAGATACTTGATTGTTTATCATCTACCTATCACAAGTGTTCAGTGGTGAAAGGTTTCATTGTCAGTAGTCCCCAAGTATCAGATCCTCTAGAGATACTCATTAAAATGAAAATCCTTGGCTCCCTCTTGAGAAATGTTCAATCAGAATCTCAGGGGAAGAAGACCAGGCATTTTCATGTCTATAAGCGCTAAAGGAAACATTTTAACACACTGTGATTTGAGAATCAGTGCTTTATTGATAAACAGAGAATAAACATGGTAATCCTTTTTTTCTTATATTGTGATAAAGCATGTATATTCAGGCATTAGTTATGGAAAGAAAACATATGGGAAAAGTACATATGTAAGTTAGGATCTTAACCCAAATGTTAGAAAGCCTAAAAATTGGTTGTAATATAGACATAATATTGATAATACCGATAAGTTTATTAAAAAATAAGGCAAGATGGCAAATGCTTCCACATGATTCTAACAATACTGAATACACTTAACATTCAGGTCTTTCACTTTATGGATTAACCTAAATGCAGCATAGAATGGCTTAGAGCATGTTAACATTTTCAAGTCTCCTATCATCAGCATTCTGCCATTCTACTTTTATTATTCTTGTATTTATGATTCAAGTTAACTCAGCAACAAAAAATAATAAAATATCTGCATAGGATATTTGTATGTATCCTATACATGTATGTATATATATTCAATATATATATAACAAATAATAAAATATCTGTATATACTGTATAGGATATTCAAATTTACAAAGAATTTCATACTCATTACCTATTTAAATTTCATACAAGTATGTGAGGAAAGTAACTTTTTCTGTAACATTTATTTTATTGAGGTTGCATTTGTTTACAACATTGTATATGATTTAAGTGAGTAACTTCACATCTCTTTGTGTGTTGCCAAACTGTACCTACCACCAAAGCTACCATATTCCTTCATTAGGCTCCCTCCACACTTACCCACTTACCTGAAATCAAGACTAGATAAGCAAAGTTTCAAGAGTTAAATTACAGTGTGTTACAGTGTGGGGGGAAAATTAGTCTTATTTTTTCCCTACATGGGATAAAACACTGTGAAATTCAATCTTCAACTGAAGGCCCTGCAATTCTCCCAAACCATAGTTCTTTGTTCGTTTCTTTTTTTTTTTTTTTTAAAGATTTATTTTATTTATTTATACAAGCACTGGGTACAGTCAGAAGCACGGGAGGGTGAGAGAATTCACCAGAGCCAGAGCGGGGAGCAGAGCAGGCAGAAGGACCGAAGTACACTGCTGAGGGGAGCAGCGGGCGGCAGGAGAGGTCTGCGCGCCATGTGGGACCCTCCTCCGGTGGCCGGGGAGCAGCCGGGGATCGAACCGGCGTCGCAGAGGCAGCGGGCAGCTTCGCAACCCAGCGCTCAACCGCTGCGCCACCGGGGAGGCCCTCTTTGTTCGTTTCTTTAACAAAATTTCAGCTAGTGTTAATAAATTAAAAAGAGAAATTGCTTGTCTGTCCACTCAGCTTTGTTTTATGCCCATTTCATATTGTCTGTGTTGTAATTCATACTTTTGATACCATTTCTGATGTGTAAAATTGGTTGTAAATATCTTAAAAAGAGTTCAATTGTAAATAAACTATTGTGGCTGTTTAAAAAAAAGACTAGAATATATGCTTTTTATACTAAAGCTCATTTTCTCTTTAATTATCTCATTTACTATATTTTTATTACATACATTTTACAGTGGGTTTTATTTCCCGGTTGTCCCACATGTTCAGACATCAATATCTCATAGCAGGGTAATGTGTATTTAGGTCAGAATCTAAAGTCAAGAAACTGCTATGCATGCAACAGATAAAAACAATTATTGCATAAACAAAATGAATGTTTATATATTAAATTCCATTATCAGAGTTTACTAATAATGTTCAATTGTTCCAGCAAATACACTTTTTTAAAGATCTCCATGGTATTACAAATAAGCAGACCCAGGTGTATACTGGGGAAAAATGGACTTTGGAGTGAACAAGTAATGCACTTTCAACCATTTCTATTGTTTTTATCTTTGGGGCCTGTAGATATTTATTTAACCACTCTTTTTCTCAGATTCCTCAAATAATGAAATTTTCTTTTTAAAAAAAGGAATATAAAGAAATATCCTATAGATAAGTTATTTAACCACTCTCTTCAGATTCATCAACTAATGAAATTTTCTTTAAAAAAAGGGGGGGGGGGACACATAATAACAATTAGGTAAACAGAAGTATCCCCCAAATTCAGAAGATAGTAAAAACATAAGTAGTGAGAAGGAGAATAATTTGGCTAATTATAAAATTGCTAATAAAACTTCATTATTCTAATAGTTGTTCTTTACCTCAAAATTACTTTTTATGATAAATTGCAATCCAGCTAACTTGTAATTGCAGTATGCAAACAGATAAGTAGTAAGTACTCACAGAGTGTTTAAATTCTTCAGTTTCTTGAAGGCACTCCCAGGAATTTCTCTTATTCTGTTAAATCTCAAGTCTCTGTGAAAATAAAAAGAGAGGGAAAGCTGTAATATGTTGATTTCAGTTCCATTTCTGGAAGCTTGAAAGTTAATTCTCCTTCTGCAACCAAACATACAGGAATAAAGGAATAACTATAAGTAAGACAGACACAAAAGTTACCGAGTAGGTTCATTGATTACAGCAGATTATGCATATCAATTTCCATATGTTGGTCCAATGTTGTCAGGCAAGCGCAGTAGTGACAGAACACATCAAATGTTAAAGGCAATTATGTCATTTGGTGTTATTTAGGTGTCATTTACATAACATCAAAACAAATTCCATGTATGGCACCAGCAATTGAGTAAATTTAGTTTGTAAAATAATAATTGACATGTGAGATGTGACCTATAAACTCAACATAACACCACTGTCTGAAGTTTAGGCTAATTTATCAATAAGTCAATTTTTCTTAATAGTCCAGCAATACAACAGTCTTCTAAGGAAGTATTAAAGCAAGTAAATAAAAGTTAGTTTGAGAGAGATTTATCCACAACAATCATTCTCTTTTATCAATTAGCATATTACTTTATTTAGCATGTAGTATTGACTTTGTGCATAATAAGTACACAAAGATGAGGGAGATGCCACCCCTGCTACTGAGCAGGCATAGTTCAGTTGAAGGTGACAATTATTATAGAACTAATACATAAAGCATTAGGGGAACATAGATGAACAAATAAAATATGTACAGATAGTCAATGTAAACATTGGTCTGCCCAGACCCCTTGTATGAGAGGGAGATCAACCCACTGTACCCCTGTGGTTTTGGTAGACATGTCACTCGTGTCCCTGCTGCCCCCAATAATGTGACTAAGCTTGGCCAACTGAGGACACTATCTCCTGTACACATTGTTTCTTCCATGAGAATATAAGATTGGTCAATTGAGGACATTCATGGGTGTTGATGTGGATGCTGAATAAAATAGAATCATGTACTTTATCTGTGATTCAGAATATATCATAGTTAGTATCCAGGGATACTAGTATTCCTCTTGTTCATACTAGAGAGAGGCAGCCTAAGGACAAAACCAAGCAGAAGCTCAATATTTATCTGTGATTCAGAATATATCATAGTTAGTATCCAGGGATACTAGTATTCCTCTTGTTCATACTAGAGAGAGGCAGCCTAAGGACAAAACCAAGCAGAAGCTCAATATAACAATATGTAGTAGGCAGCTCTCCTTCCTAGTCTGCCCACCTGTGTCTATGCAGGCATCTCTTTTAACAAACCTGTTCATTACAAACTCAGCTCATCCTGACCACCTGTATGTGTGAAGAATCTTCTTCCCCTTTCCTTTTTTTATATAACAAACCTTCCCTTTGGATATATATAAAAAAAAAAGGATCACATATAAATAATATGTAGTCTCTACATATTACATAATAATAATAATAATTACATAATATTTGCATTAACATATGATACATAAAGTTATATAGACCCAAGTATAGCAGAAGCTGCCATTTTCTTTTAAAACAAAAAGTTTAAAATTACAAAATCAGGTGAAAATGGGACAAGAAACAAAGCCTTGGATCCAGTGCTGGCTAAGACCCAGACTTTTCAGTTAAACTGAGATATTGCATTTTAATATGGTTGTTTAAGCTGCAATTCTAACATTCTGTAGGGAAGATGGAAGAAAGATGAAATTATTTGTTTTGATATGTAAGGGTCTTAACCCAAGGGGAATCACAGCAAGAAAATTTAATAAGATATTAAGTTGTTAACAAAAAAATGAATAGAAACAATTTTCACTTTCCCACATTTATTTCTCAAAATAAAATTCTTCATCACTACAAAAAGTTGTCCTATATTAGGATACTTGATTAAAAAATCATACAATATTTTCTTAAAATTGTATTACTCATTTTTCCCTTGAGATTGAAATATGCACCAATTCCTAGGAGTTATGTCTTCAATTAAAATGACTCACTATGTAACTCAATCCACAATATAGCAGAATGAGGAGGGGAAAAGAGGGGAAAAAACAACAAGAATCATAAATGAAGGAGATGAAATTCAACAGATACTGAAGAGATTCATAAAAGACTACTATAAACATTTATATGGAAGCAAATTGATCACCCTTAAAGAAATGAACACATTTTTAGGATCACACAACCTTCCACGACTGAACCAGGATGAAATAGAGAGCTTGAGCAGGCTAATTACAAGCACAGAGATGAAAGAGTAATCAAAAATCTCACTAAGAGCAAAAGGTCAGGACCAAATGGCTTCACTATTAATTTCTACCAAGTTTTCAAAGATCTATACTTTAAAATTCTCCCCCGCAAAAAAAAAAAAAAAAAAATGGAGAGGGGGAACACTCCCAAATAGACTTTACATATGTTCCACAATTTCTTTATCCAGTTATCTCTTAATGGAGACTTAGGTTGATTCCATAACTTGGCTATAGTGAATAATGTCCTTGCTTGGTTTTAGTATGAAGGTAATATTAGTTTAGTCATCCCTTGATTACACAAAAAGATCTGGGTATCTATCCCTAACTCCTATAGGCAGGTTGCACTTCACTTATATACTTCTTCACTACCAAACATTTTGGTTATTTTCAAGTTTTGCAACTGTATTTATAAACAGTATAACAATAAACATTCATGGAATGTGTCCCTGTGCACAGGAAGAAATGTTTCTCACCAGTATTTAAATTTGGGATTGTCATAGGATATGCACCTCTTCAGTTTTACAAAATTAAGTCAACTCCAAATTTATTTTCAACTAGACACATTATGACAGCAATAGAAATAATTGAAAATAATGTGAAAAGATGTTTGAACTACTCCCCAAATTATAAATTCAAACTTTTCAATGGATTGATTTGAAAGTTAAGATGTTAAGTGTTTGTGATCAAAATTCCTTCCTTGTATTTCTTTTTTTTTTCCAGTTTTTAAAAGGAAGATTTATTTAACAAGTTTCACTTAGTACAATACATCTAATGGAAATCACAATACAAGGAGATTTAAATCAAAGCCTTAGAATTTCATACAAACAACACAACCAAACTCCTAAAGTATTGGTAATTACATCTCAAAATTTTCCCAGATCCTAAAAAAAAAAAATAGAAATGTACATTCACGCGCTTTACAAGATATTAAACCAAAGAGCTAGAATTAACAAACATGCCAAAAGTTTTCGCTTTGATTCATAGACACAGCTCCTATATTTGAGTTTTACAGAAAAGCATGTTTCTCAACATGCATCCAAAGTTTTCAATGTATTGTGGTATAAGAGCAACATTTAACATAAGTGAAATTGCTTTAACCTAAATACACTTACTGCTTAGGTACACTCCTACAACATAACTAACTTGAGGAAAGCTGAAAGCTGTTTTAACAGTTATGGTCAATACTGAACTTTGTTATTACATCCTAGATGAATGTTTCAGTGTTCAAAATTACTGAGCTTGATATTTTTTAAAACAATCTTGACTTCCACTTCACAGTAAGCATGAATCACAAGCCTGAATGCAAAACTGTTAAACTTAAATTTTGTTGTCTTGAAAAAAAAAAGAGAAAAAGAAAAAGAAAGAAGCTAAGAGTGATCAGAATCAATTATATTTCCCATTTACCAATCATACTGGATATATTAGACATCCCTCCCATTCTACTCAACTCCCATACATGCACAGCTTTTATTTCTGTAGTAGCTGCTTGGCACCCCTTCTCCACCTAAGCAAGGTTGGACTGATAGTCACTAGAGTTTTCCTGCAGAACTTGGTCATATTCACTCATACTGCTCTGACCACCATAGCCACCTCCATAACCACCACTCAGATGCTGGCTAGCAGGACACATCCCCCACCCCCACCCCACCCCGTAACTGGACTGGTTGGACAAGCGCATCCCTCCCATCATTTGGCTACCACAAGCGCCACCACTTGCCCCTGCTTTAGAATTCAAAAAGAGTTCTACGCAGCTGTGATCATAAGCCCCCCCCACTTGTTCCTGCAGTAGAATTCAGGAAGAGCTCCACAAATCTGTGTTGCATATTAGCTTTGTCTTTTGCCATAGCTGCCACAGCATCTTCATGAGTAGCAAATTCAACATCTGCCTCACCAGTAACTCTGCCATCGGGTCCAATTTCAATGTGTACTCTCATGGGGTTAAGAGGGGAGAAAAAATTGTAAATATCATTCTCTGTGGCTCCTGTAAGGTAATCCCCTCATGTGCACACAGTGCCCTGTAATGCTCTGGAAACTGGACCACCATCTCTGTATCTACGATCAGACATTCCTGAAAAACAGTAATTGAGGTCTCTTCCAAACCTATCAGATCCAAAGCCATACCCATCATTATAGCCACCATAATCACTGTAGCCTCCATACCCACCTCCACAGGCACCCCGCCTCATCCTTTCAAACCCAGGCCCTCTGCCGAGGCTATTATATCCTCTGCCAGCCCCCGGCCTATCATAGGGACCCAGCCGCTGCATAGCCATAAGCTTTCGAGGGGGGTCATAATGGGTTCGGATTTCAGCTCAGCTACTCTTGAAGATTTCAATGTATCTGTGCCCTAGTCTCTCCTTGTGTTTCTTTAAGGCCTTTTCAGCTATCTCCTGGAAAAGCCTCCCCTGTGGTCCGCCCCTCAAAGTCCACCGGCAGTGTCATCCCATTTGGCACAATTTGTAACCCTGAAAAAAACTGAACAATCTCCTCCTTGCTACAGCCAAATAGGAGTCCTCTAAGGTAGACGAAGCCATCGTTGGCCATGTCAGGACTATGAACTGTGTGCTTCAACACCCAATCCATTTCAACACTGTTGGACTTGAATACTTCGACATATCTGTGCCCCATGATTTCTCTGTCCTTCTTCAAAGCCAGTCACTTCATCTTCGGATTCGAGTTCGGCAAATGCTTCACCACTCGGTGTGCCTTCTCTGGTGTAGATGAAACGAATACCTGATGTACCATTTTGGGTTTTGCAGTCGGAGAAGAAGCGCATCACTTCATCAGCTGAGCAGG